TCTGCTGAAGTCAATTGACTTTTTTTAACCTACCGATGTGATATTTTAGGACGACGCTTAAAATAGAGAAATAGAAAAAAACTAAGTCCCAGATTGTCATGTATGTTTTCATGTTTCTAACCACCTCTTCCTCTTTTTCTTTGTGTTTCAGCCCGGATTGGGAAGATGAAGCGCCGGAAGCCAGAGGATGGGCAGGTATGTCCACTGTGCAGCGCGCCGCTGGCAGGGACAGAGGAGGAAATGAGTAGGCATGTGGAACAATGTCTGTTCAAGGTAGCCTCACGTCCCTACCTGTACCCTCAGCCTCGAGCCTCTAGTCAACCAATTACCATATCTCTAGTCGCTAGTCACCACCACGTTATCTAGTGTCTATCCACTATGCTCCCTCTCTTTCCCCTGGATCTGGCACAGCCGAGACACTACTTAGAAATGACATAGACATGACATAGATATGACAGACTCAGAACACATGGAAACAGTAGCCACCAGGGCTTCGTTGTCTGACAAGCTCTTCTTTTACTTGTCCACCAAGCACTGAATCTAGCTTACTCCAGTCTCAAGCTTTATGCTGATGACTTAGTTAGATAGTAGCAGTTAGATGTTCAACTGAAAGAATCATTAGTCTAGCAATACACCTCTCTCTCCTGTCCAATAGTTAGCCCACCTCTCTCTCCTGTAGGAGCATCTTCTTCCTCTGAATCTCTGCTTCCTAAATAGAATAGATGGCAAGTGAGGCCTCCTGACCAACTCTTTAAAGATTCATGCTCACTCTCATTGTAACCACTTCTCCTTCGCTCACAGAATATAATTTATTTATTTATATTAATCATGCTCTCATAAACCAAATCTTACAGATTAATTAGTTGTAGTTTTACTAACACATATTGTGCATCATAGCTAGTTTTGTATGAATTAAAATGTTTAAATAAAAAATATCCAATATTTTTATGTTAATGAAAGAATACTGATCATTTTCTATTTAACATTTTGATTATTTCTGACAAATTCTGACATAGGAGAACTTGTCTTTTTCGACTCCAATCCCTACCCTGTGTCTGGTTCAGTGTTGACTGTCTTTGTTCTCTCAGAGGGAGGGTGCATTTGCTGAGGATGACTCTGCAGACATGGATGGAGAGAACGGGACCCGCTTCGAGGAGTACGAGTGGTGCGGCCAGAAGAGGGTCAGAGCTACCACCCTGCTGGAAGGAGGCTTCAGAGGTACACTATACACTACATCCCAATGGACCCGATCAAAAGTAGTGCACTATAAAGGGAATAAGTGCCAATTGGGACGCAGATCTATTTTTCACTCTAAGAAAATCACTACTTTGGTTCTGATATTAAAATAACAAAACATTGGTGCAACATTTGAGCATTAACAAAGTGTTTTAGGGTAGTTGAAAGTATCATAATGATAAGAGTCTAAACCCAGTGCACCAAAATGCCTTCCACCACACAACAGGACCCACTCTGAACAACATTCCCCGCTAGTCACAATTCCCCTTCAGTATAACAACAGGTTGAGTCTGTGTATCATTGCCTTTTAAAAGGACATGGCTGGGTGCAGAGAGGCTAACATGCCCAGGGCTGTAGCCGAACATGGTGGACAGCTCTGGCTCTGTTTTCCAAATGACACCCTATTCCATACGTAGTGCACTACTACATAGTGCACCCTATGGACTCTGGACAAAAGTAGCGCACTGAGTAGGGTGCCATTTGGGACACACCACATCTGTCTCCAGCTGCAGTGTGGGGCCATGTGGCCCCGGTCCAGACAGGGGACAGCCCAGTCTGGCCCTGGCCCCAGCCCTTTAGGAGGGAAAGGAAAACACATTTAGCTGTGCAATTGACCCGTCTGAACCCGTAAGGAGTGGTGTGTGGAAGGGAAATGGGCCAGTGACCCCCCCCCCAGGTTCCCCTCAGCCAAGCAATGCAATTATAGCCCTAGACCTAAAGCTGCCCACTAGGGACCATATGCTGCTCTCTCCTTCTCTCTCACATTCTCTCCATCTCACTCTCTCTCCCTCTGAAACTTATCTTATCTTATGGGAGGGCTAGAATTGAATATCAAATCCATTATCAGTAATCATTGACAACGAGACATCATTGGGATATTGACTGGAATGCTCAATAACCTGTAAGTTATCTCTTTTTAATTTCCCACTCCAATACAGTGACTTTCAAACGTAGGCTGTCAGCCAACGCAGAGAATACATTTGGCTCGTGATTTAGATGCTGATGAATTGATCCAACCTAGCCACTGTGTGCTCACCTACATGATTTGTGAATATTTAGAAGGCCATTGGTCCGTGATCAATAGCTAGTGTAGTCCGCTTGATTGGACAAGTGTATGATTTGGCTGTAGGTCAGCGTTCATTATCTCATGTCCAACAGACAGGCCTTTGCTTCACTGCAAGAGAGAGCTATGAAAATGAATTGGCCACAGGTCCTCATGGTGTGTGTCTACACATCACAGGAAAGCAAAGAGTTCTCGTCTTCTCTAAGGGCCTCTTTAAAACTCTCAAAGTCGCTAAACCCCCCCAAGTCCCCAAATTCGATCCAGGCGGTAAAACTGCATTACAAAGCCCAATAAGACGTGTGTGCCTTTTGGCCCCTCTCTCTCGCTACAAACCCGACCAGACAGACATCAACGGCCTACAGATCAATTTGAAATCTCGACTGAACCTCCTGAGCAGGAGGCTGTCCGGCCGTCTGTCTGTCCATTCATCTAATGAGCAGCAGACCCCTTCTGGCCGGCTGTGATAGCCCGGCGTCCTGTGATGTGACACAGATAAGGGCTGGTCAAAGCCAGAGGTGCTTTCCGCTGCTCCAGCCGGTCTGGGGAGACCACTTGAAAGTAACCCCCCTAGAAGCTCAGATGGTGGATTTGCCTTGAAAGCTTTGCTGCAGTCAGCCATGGTTCAATGGGCCCAGCCAGGCAGAATCCACCATCCACCCAGCCCGGGGGGGGGGGGTGGTTGATGCGGGTAGGAGAGACGGAGACGAGGGGCTTCAATGGGATAAGAGAGGCCTATCCTCTGTGAGCCACCAGCACCACCACTGCCACCTCTCCCTTTTGAGGGGAGGGAAGAAAGGCAAAGGGAAGCCCTTTAAACACCACAGAAAAGGCGACGCCCGGGAGAGAGCGAGAGGAAAATCGAACAGGATCACTTTCTGCTTGAGACATGTGGGGCCCAGCCCTCACCTGGTCCTCCTGTGTACATGGCTTATGAGGACCTGGGAGAAAAGCACTAAAGGCTGATGTATTTAGGAAGAGGGTCAGATCTGATCCCAGCAGTCTGATAGTGAAGACCAAGGCCAAGTGGGCCGATCCTGGGAGAGAGTATTTGGGTCCGCTGACTGAAGATGGCAGCGGGGACAGAAGGCACTCTCTGCTTTGTAAACAGGCTTCAAAGATGGCGGCCATCTTTATTCCATCTCTGTCCCATCATCTCTCCAGACGTGTCCTGTAAATGCCAGCGAGATATCATGGATATGACCAGAGCCGACTGGGGAGGGCTGATAAGGGCTATAAGCACCATGGCAACCGGGTGTTATTGGTCAGGCTGTCTCATGTTGATTGGTCCCTTGACCCTCCCTCGCCGCTCGCTCAGAACCTTAGCGTTGTCTCTGTCTCATCTCCAGGTGGTGGTGGTGACATATGGAGATAGGTGTTGCGTGTCACAGTCAGGTCTGTGTTACACAGGGAAGAACACATGTATTTTACATGTTCAAGTCATTGAGATGCACAAGATTGGTTAGGATAATGAGTGTGGAGGATATGCGAGGGACGGGTGCCATTTAGGTGCACTTGTGTGTGTCGGTGTGCACGGACATGTGTGTCTGTGTGTATATTGATCCTGGATGATCTGCCAGAAGGAGGGGCAAAAAGGGAGCAGCCTATCCCCTGGGGTCGGAGAGAGAGAGATGGAGGGAGAGAGGGAGCGCGTGCAGCGGCGTGCATAATGTGACTGAAAGGCAGTTATAGTGGCGCTGACCTTTTCAGGGGAGATTAGATTGCCTGCCAAGACTGGTTAAAGGGAGAGATGGGGCCTGAACTGAGCTGAGCAGCATGACCAGACCAGTCTGGCCAGCCCAACAGCATCACTACGTCCTAAATGGCACCCTATTCCCTATTTAGTGCACTATTTTTGACCATGGCCCATAAGCCTCTGGTAAGAAGTAGTGCACTTTAATAGTGAACGGAGTGGCATTTGGAACGCTGCCCATTACTTCCGACTGCTGTAGTCCTCATCCTCCTCCTCCTCTGCTCATGGGACATCAACCTGGTCTGACTTTGGACAATCCAATTTCAGCCGAACGGTTCGGCTACATGCCACTTGCTTTTACAGCATCCACTCGTTTTAGTTTCTATCAGTCAACTATCAGTGTGATGGGGATCTTGTTTTCCCTACTTGTCTTTATAGTCTTCTTCCACACTTACCGCTGTGGTGAATTGAGATTGAACTGGATCGAATGCAGCAGTTGTAGGCAGTCCATCCTTGTCGGTTCCAGTTGGGGGAAGTATATTTGAGATAAATATTTCTCCATGTCCCACTGGGTTTTGGGTTTAAGGCTAATCCTTCCTAGTAACACTTAGCAGTGGAAAGCACACTTCTTAGGGGCTGCAGCCTTGTCAGTGGGTGGGTCTCTCCTCAGCCAGAGAGCCACCACACCACAGCCTTTTGAAAATCAATGCTGTGCTGCTCTGCCTCTGTCCCTCCCATCCCCTCCTCCCATCTCCTGGCCCCAATCCCAGCCATGCATCGCTAACTAGCCGCAGGATCCATACCCTGATCAATTGATTGAATTAACAGTGATTTTTGGTTCCTTCCAACCCTCCGCCACTTTCTCCTCCCCAATATGCCTGGCCAGCGGCCGCCATTAGTGGTCGGGACGGAGGGACAATCTATTTATTTATTTTAGCTTCTCCTACGTGTCGCCACTCGTTCACAGTAGATTAATGAAATGCAGGGCATCATTTGCAGTTTATCGCATTTATGACCTCACTGCCTGGCCCGGCCGCCATACCTCCCCCCTCCTTCCCAGCAGCCTTTGAGTCATGCCCAGGTCCAGGTGTTGACTGTGCTGTGGGAGAGACAAAGGCTTGGTCTTGAAAAACACATTATTAGCCCATCCCTTGCTCTAAAGTATTTCAATCATCTCAAGGTCCCTGAATGGTGGTGGTCTATCTGGATAGGACATGCTGCCCGCTGGTCCACTGGTCCCCTCAGCTGTCTGTTACTACTGTCTCTGCTACCAGCAGCTGAACAGACATTTATGCACCACAGCCATTGTTCACATATGCTCCACGCAGCCACGGGGACCAAATAAAACTTAAAAGGTCCCTTTTATATGATCGCTAAAAAGCATGGGCACATTGTAAAAAGGGTTAGCCTTGGTGGCAGGCAGGGACCGAGTTTTATACTCTCCTCCAGCAGCAGCTCCAGTCTCAGCACAGAGCTTCCTCCAGCCTTCACAGAGGCAGGGGAAGAGGCTGCCTGCCTTCTGGGTCTCTGTGCTGGGTTGGCCTTAGAACATCTATCCATGGCTCTACATACAGTACCAGTCAAACGTTTGGACACACCTACTCATTCCAGGGTTTTTCTTTATTTTTTACTATTTTCTACATTGTAGAATAATAGTGAAGACATCAAAACTATGAAATAACACATATGGAATCATGTAGTAACCAAAAAAGTGTTAAACAAATCAAAATATATTTTATATTTGAGATTCTTCAAAGTAGCCACCCTTTGCCTTGATGACAGCTTTGCACACTTGGCATTCTCTCAACCAGCTTCATGAGGGAGTAATCTGGAATGCATTTCCTTAATGCGTTTGAGCCAATCAATTGTGTTGTGACAAGGTAGGGGGGGTATTCAGAAGATAGCCCTATTTGGTAAAAGTCCATATTATGGCAAGAACAGCTCAAATAAGCAAAGAGAAACGACAGTCCATTACTTTAAGACATGAAGGTCAGTCAATACGGAACATTTAAAAAAACTTGGAAAGTTTCTTCAAGTGCAGTCACAAAAACCATCGAGCACTTTGATGAAACTGGCTCTCATTCCACAGGAATGGAAGACCTAGAGTTACCTCTGCTGCAGAGGATACGTTCATTAGAGTTACCAGCCTCAGAAATTGCAGCCCAAATAAATGCTTCACAGAGTTCAAGTCACAGACACATCTCAACATCAACTGTTCAGAGGGGACTGTGTGAATCAGGCCTTCATGGTCGAATTGCTGCAAATAAACCACTACTAAAGGACACCAATAAGAAGAAGAGACCTGCTTGGGCCAAGAAACACGAGCAATGGACATTAGACCGGTGGAAATGTGTCCTTTTGGTCTGGAGTCCAAATTTGAGATTTCTGGTTCCAACTGCCGTGTGTTTGTGAGACGTGGTGTGGGTGAACGGATGATCTCCGCATATGTAGTTCCCATCGTAAAGCATGGAGGAAGGAGGTGTTATGGTGTGGGGGTGCTTTGCAGGTGACACTGTCTGATTTATTTAGAATTCAAGGCACGCTTAACCAGCATGGCTACCACAGCATTCTGCAGCGATACGCCATCCCATCTGGTTTGGGCTTAGTGGGACTATCATTTGTTTTTCAACAGGACAATGACCCAACACACCTCCAGGCTGTGTAAGGGCTATTTTACCAAGAAGGAGAGTGATGGAGTGCTGCATCAGATGACCTGGCCTCCACAATCCCCTGACCTCAACCCAATTGAGATAGTTTGGGATGAGTCAGACGGCAGAGTGAAGGAAAAGCAGCCAACAAGTGCTCAGCATATGTTGGAACTCATTCAAGATTGTTGGAAAAGCGTTCCAGGTGAAGCTGGTTGAGGGAATGCCGAGAGTGTTCAAAGCTTTCATCAACGCAAAGGGTGGCTATTTGAAGAATCTCAAATATGAAATATATTTTGATTTGTTTAACACTTTTTTGGTTACTACATGATTCCATATGTGTTATTTCATAGTTTTGATGTCTTCACTAATATTCTACAATGTAGAAAATAGTAAAAATAAAGAAAAACCCTTGAATGAGTTGGTGTGTCCAAACTTTTGACTGGTACTGTATGTCTCCATATGAGCCCATGCCATTTTCCTTATCCTTAACAGCTGAGTCTGTCTGTATTCCACCACACCACTACTATCTCCTGTCCTGACACGAGTCGGCTGTCGGTGTCCAGCCCTAGACTAGTGGGAGACTTGGCCCCTGACCACTCAATCAGCCTCCAGCACTGTGTGTGTCTCCGGGGCAGCACAGGCAGGGGGAGAGGCAGGGCCTAAGTGGAGCTGAAAGGGCCAGTCAGGCAGGAGTTTGTCTGGCGGGCCGCTCATCACAGGGTTTATAGAGGTGCCAGTCAGATCTACCGCCAGTCAGTCAGCCCCCCCAGACTGCCACACTCCCATAACCAGATAACCAGCCACTGGCAGCTGACAGACAGCTGACACAACCCCCTAAACCCCCTCCCTCTGTCTGCCACTGACAGCCAACAACACTTTACAGGAAGGGAGGGGAAATAGCAGCATCTCAACATGTCTATTTCAATCAGTCTGCTTTAGCAGAAGGTTTAATAGCTAGCTCAGATCTTTCTTACCCTGCTGGTCTACATGTGTAGAGAGATGGGGATAGGCAGACAGGGTCTGGAAGGAGGGCTGTTGTTGAAGCCCTGCTTTGCACTGTCATCCTGTCTGAAATGACAGAACTGACTGTTTGAGGTTGTGAAGTGTATACTGTATTTTTATTTTCCTCCACAATATTGAGGACGGTTGCATGGTCTGAAAGAGCCTAGACAATGACTCTGCCACCCTCCTCCCTCCCCCCTCTCCTCAGGAACAGGCTTTGCCATATGCAGCACGAAGGAGAACCATGACAGCGACGCCGACCTGGACGTGGATGGAGACGACACGCTGGAGTACGGCAAGGCCCAGTACACAGAGGCAGACATCATTCCCTGCTCCGGAGAGGACCAAGGAGAAGCCAAAGAACGGGAGGCCCTGCGCGGCGCAGTGTTGAAGTAGGTTCTCACTCATACCACTCTAATATACTCCACTCCACTCTGGCCTACTCTACTGACGACTCCTCGTCTGGGGCGTTGAGCTCCTTCTCGCAGCTTAGTTTTTTGTTTGTTTCCACTCTTTCAGTGGTGGAATGCCATCCAACAGAATAACGCCGGAGTTCTCCAAATGGGCCAGTGATGGTGAGTTGAGGCTTGGAACAAGATGTCATCTTCTGTTTTTATAGTTACCATATTGAAATCTTTTGACCGTATTGATTCATGTTTAGATCAGTTCTTATAGTTCCCCATCTCTCTCTCTGCAGAGATGCCCTCCACGAGCAACGGAGAGAGCAGCAAACAGCAGCTGCCTCAGGACCCCAACGCTGCCTGCTCATCCTCCAACGCGCCCCGGACCTGTAAAAACAGCGAAATAGAGAAGTAAGAATCATCCCGTCCTCCCCTATCTTCTCAGCCCCAGAGCACACACACACACACACACACCTGCCCAGGCTGAAATCCAACCACCGCCTCCCCCAGCCCTCTCCTATCACGTTTCAATTACCCTCAAATTAGTTTTCTTTTCTTCCTACGCCCGGCTGGTTGGGTCATAAATGATGCATTTTGTGTGGTCATTTTTCCTTCTGCGGTGAGAAAGCCGGTGAATCTGTGCTTTGCCTCACTTCATCCACTGGTCTGATCACAGAGAGTGTCCCACTGTATTGATCCTCTCTCTGTAGCCGTGTGCTTCATCTGGGCCAGACACACAGCACCACGCAGGAATCCTAATTTCACCACACAAACACACTACCTCCCTCCTGCTACCTACCGAGCCAGCAGACCTAGTAGAAACACAGGGAGCCCCCAGCTCCAGTCTCCCCAGCCCCTCCCTACCAAGCAGCAGATAAATGTGAATAACCTGTTCATGTGAAAGGGCAGCCCCTCTAATTCCCTCATCTCCATGTCCTCATCCATATTCCCCGACAAGCGGCGCCCGGAAAACAATTTCCACCAGCAGCAGCATGGCCGGCCCCTCTGAATGGGTAATTGGGGTCAGAGCAGCACAGCTAGTGGAGAGAGAGGGGGATTTTGGTTGATTGCTTGCTTCTGCATGTTTGGCATATTCCCTGTTCCCCCCTTTGCTCCTCTTGCTCCCCATTTTGGCTCAGTTGCTTCAGTTTCCCCCACCCCTATCTTAAACGTGGCCATGGGTCAAAACTGCAGTCTGTCGCTGCCTTCCATCACAATCCCCCTCTCTCTTCCTTCCTGCCTTCACTTGTCCAAGCCTCAGAGACTGACTGCGTCTGACTCCTTCCTCACATCTCATTTGTCCATTTCCTTTCCTCAGTGTCCATTTCCCCTGCTGACTCTGACTGAGATAAATGAATGTTTTGGTTTCAACAAAGCAGCCAAACGGCTCCATTTCTTATTCTCCCTCAGCCGCCATCATCATCATTGACTTCCTGTGAAGGGCTCATGTTAAACTGCATAGTAGTACGAGCGTAGCAAGTGTTTTATAAACACCCACACACTTATTTCCTCTTTCTCTTAGCTCCCGTAGTCTCACACACACACACACACACTTCTCCACACACACACTTCTCCACACACACACAAACACACTTCTACATACCCACACACACACTTCTCCACACACACTCTTGGGAGGGCTGCCCTGCCTGCCCGGCAGGCTAAATGCTTCATTTAAATGAATCAATCAGGAGGAAGCGGCTCAGCTCAGAGTAGAGCTGGTCTAGCCACATATTAAATATCAGCCTGCTGCTGGAGAACTGAACTGGTGCATAAGCATAGCAGCTTGGGATGTATTGATCTGGGATGCGTCCCAAATGGTACCCTATTCCCTTTATAGTGCACTACTTTTGACCGGAGCCCTATGGGCCCTGGTCAAAAGTAGTGTACTATAAAGGGAATGATGTGCCATTTGGGACACAGACCTGATCTGGGCTCATCAGTACAATGTGATCACGTCTCTGGCCCTATCCCTTCCTCCCTCCACCCCTCTTCCTGGATGACTGTGTGTGTACCCAGGATGAATCTGTGTGTGTGCGGAGTGGGAGGATGAATTCATCAGCAGCACATCCTCTGGGGCAGCGTCATTATGATCCATTTGTGTGGCAGACAGACACATTTAAACACAGTGACTGTCTGAGGGTTAGGGAGGGAAAGCCTTGTGTCCATAAGGAAAACAGTGTAAGGGGTTTAGACAAAAGTGAGTGTAGGAATAGTGAGTTTGCTCTTTTTCTTTGCTGTGTGTGTGTGTGTGTGTGTGTGTGTGTGTGTGTGTGTGTGTGTGTGTCGGCATGAAGAAAGACAGATGAGCATTCCCTAAGTGGTGAAGCCAGAAGCATGACAGCTTAGGTTGATTCATCGCTGTAACCCTGTTGAGGCTCCCTGCCTCCCCTCTCGTACACACATACGCGCACACACACACCTACATACACACACGGTCCATCTCCCTCCCACACACACACACACACACACACACACACAAACACACACATTTGTGACAGCCACAGAGACAGCCACCTCTCTGTGCCATTATGTGGTGGAAAGGGGCATTAGGCGTGTTTGGCAGGCTGGGCATAGATCACTCCCGCTGGTTGATGTCAGACCGAAGGAAGAGTAGGCCTAAGCCATGAGAAGGGCCTCCTGCCTGCCTCCTCAATCAGCTTTATTAGCTTAGCTATCGGCTGCTCTGCTCCAGATGTGACACACGCCCGTGTATTTAATATGTTTCCACCAGCCAGGCAGAGAGAGAGAGGCTCACCAACCAGTCTGCTCTGGAGCACTGACTCACTGGTTGCATCTCAATTGGCACCCTTTATAGTGCCCTACTTTTGATTGTGCCCTATGGGAAAAATAAAGTTAAACGTAGTGCACTATATAGGGAATAGGGTGCCATTTGGGACATATCCACAGTCAGTCACAGTAACTCTCCAGCCGAACCTATATTATTCCCAGATATTTTGTGTTTTTCTCCCTTCCTACCGTTGTTGTCTACTTAAGCATTAAGGCACAAGGAGGTGTGGTATATGGCCAATATACCACGGCTAAGGGCGGTTCTTATGCATGACGCATCGTGGAGTGCCTGGACACAGCCCTTAGCCGTGGTATATTGGTCATATACCACAAACCCCTGAGGTGCCTTATTGCTATTATAAACTGGTTACCAACGTAGTTAGAGCAGAAAAAATCAATGTTTTGTTATACCCGTGGTATACGGTCTGATATACCACTACTGTCAGCCAATCAGCATTCAGCCCCCCCCCCCCCCCAGTTTATAAAAGTCCTTATTTGATCAGGTTCCAGAGGATGTTAGGAGGATATTGTATTATATGCCAGAGGGAGATGATGTCATTCATCATAGAGAGAAGGTTGTTCTGGGAATTATAGTTTTTAACTGTTCCTCCTTAGTGTCTGTTGGCTTAGTGGGAGGAACAAGCCTGTATTATTAGTGTTGTCACAGAAGAGAAAGAGATGTGGTAGTGATTTTATTGAAATAAAAATTGTATTCAAATAAAAATAAATCATTAAATCTCATAAAATTTCAGTAAAATGTTGCCTGCATGTTGTTACATTTGGATCTTTCTGTTGGCATTCTCTTAATTTTAGTGCCAAAATCTATAAGCAAAGAAATGGGCATGCAGTGTGACAGTTTTATGGGCAATTTCCTGATACGTAAGAAATAGGCTTAATCTGAGAATCCCTTTTTAAGGAGACCAAATAAGGGATTGAATGATTTTAGAGGAACAAGAGGCTGAAATTCCCTTCTTGCTGTTTGCAAAATGCATGTATTTGTGGGGACTTTCTCAGCCCTCGTTCTCAAATTGAAATGAGGTTTGTCTCCTTTCGTTATGTTGATGCATTGTGTGTGTGTGTTGCGGTAGTGAAATCTCTGATCTCATCCGAGATGGGTAATGATCTCTTGGCATCTGGGTCGTCTCCAACCCCGCTCGTTCCCAACAAGATAAATGAGCTCTCCAATGCCGCCAATGTGATTGCTGCAAATTTTCATGCTCAACATGAAACAATGGCAGAGATTTCCATGTAGCTGCGCAAATAATTAAATCTGGCCTCAATTTATAAGTGATGACTCTACCCCACGTCCTCCTCTGCCTCTCCCCATCTCCCCCCTCAGACCCTGTGAGAGCGAGGAGCCCTCCCCCAATAGCCATCTGAGACCTTTTTTTTAATGTATTTTTAAATTTAAAAAAATAATTGTAATATTTCAAACATACAATCTACTTGCAGTGAAGCCGCTCAACATTATGTCACATTAGTCATCTAACAGACTCCCATCCAGAGTGACCCACAGAAGCAACCAAGGTCAACGCCCTGCTCAAGGGCATGTCGACAGATCTCCCATAAGGTCAAAAAACGGGGACCCGAACCAGCGACCCATCAGCCACCAGCCCAAGCTCCCAACCACCAGGCCACCAGCCTTCCATGATCCCCCCCACAGTTCCCCAAGAACTGCCCCTCAACCAAAGGAGAACCCCAGCCCCCCCCCCCCCCCCCCACACACAGTCCTCCCCGAGAAAAATACAATCATTCCATTCCCCACCCACAAGACTGTCCCCAAGCCCCCAATGCACCAACAAAATGAACAAAAGACAAAGGAAAACAGCAATGCAAAAAACAAAAGACATCAAGGACAACAAAAATCAGAACAGGAAGGCCAACTGAATATGTTTGAGTGCATATTTACGTGTGTGTGTGTGTGTGTGTGTGTGTGTGTGTGTGTGTGTGTGTGTGTGTGTGTGTATGTGCATTTGAATCAGAGTGTGTGTGTGTATGCATGTGTACAAACCCCTGCACGGCATCAGCCTCAGGCAAACAGGCATTAGCTGTAACAACACTGCCTCTCAGTGTCATTCAAACATACTTTTTGTTCTGTTTTATTTGGACTTTATTTTTGACTTTTATCTTTGTCTGTCATTTTATCCCCCGCCCAGCAACTCCACTCCCACTTGTCTCCAATTCCACATCCCAACCCTCAGCTTCCCTCAGCCCATCCCACCTATCTCTGCTGGCCACCCTCTTCGGATTTCTACACTTAATTATCTGTAAGGTGCCTCAGTCAAGCAGTGAAATTCAACCACAAACACCAGGGAGGTTTTCCAATGGTTCGCAAAGAAGGGCACCAATTGGTAGATGGGTAAAAAAAAACATTGAATATCCCTTTGAGCGTGGTGAAGTTATTAATTACACTTTGGATGGCGTAGTCATTACAAAGATACAGGCATCCTTCCTAACTCAGTTGCCGGAGAGGACAGAAACAGCTCAGGGATTTCACCATGAGGCCAATGGTGACATTAAAAGCGTTACAGACTTTAATGGCTGTGATAGGAAAAAATTGAGGATGGATCAAAAACGTAGTTTCTCCACAATAATAATCTAATTTACAGAGTGAATACAAAGAAG